ATATTGTCATATCGATACTAGAATAATGCTAATGAAAATGCGTTTCGTGTCAGTCAGTCAGTCAAGAAAGTATGTGTATTGTTGTCCCCAAATTTTCAATTAACTGAATATAGAAAGAGACGTTAAAGTTATACAGATTTACTACAACAATGAATGTTACACTAATTGTTTTTATTTGCGAACAATACAAACCTGTTGTATATGCATGCGAACTGCCATAAATGTACTTTTAAATGCAACAATTACTAGTAAAAAAAAAGAACAAGGCTTTACTCATCTATGTGTACAGATAATACTTTCGGGATAATGTTGTTAGGTAATATTATGTGTTTACTTTGTAATCCGGCACAATTACGGACCATTAATATTCTCAGTGATTGTTGTTAGACTGGGGATTATTAATTCGTGTATAATGTGTCAGACGTAATTGGTTGTTTCTCCAACCTGCAACACAAACGACAGAAACGAATTCTACTCTTCTCCCCAACGCGCAATATGTAAACCAACTCGTACACAAAAACAATTTACTTTTTTTCCCAGCGCACGTTGGACCGGTCAATATGAGACATGAAGAATGTTATTACAAGTTTTGGGCATATTCACTGCCGCCAAAATTTAGTGTTTATGATATCAACGAATTTACATGTTTAACAAACATCTTTGTAACATATCTGCAATAACCATTCTATAATAATAAAAGTCCTATCGATATGAATAAAACTGAAAATTGAATAAAACCTTAGCATTGGTAAACTTGTCAAAAAAAAACTTCACGGAGAGGAAACGTCTGCTAACTATAAATGTGCAACGTATCAAGACGTAACCGTATCTGCTTTATAGATATTGTCACATCTTTATGCCCTTCCAATGTTTGGATCATAAATTATTGGATTTGTTCCAATTGTTTTATTTACTGGTCTTATGTGTAATTTTACCTTTAGAAGATGTGATTAGCAAATTATTATTTGGTAGTTTAATGTAAATGACAACATTACCTTCTCGACGATAGGTTTATTCTATTCGTTTGTAATTTTGACAGACTAGTAATGTTTTCATAGTTATACCGCATATTAATATGCCAGAGTCTACATGTTAGATTTAAAATAATCAAAGATAATAGACATGACTATATTAAAGCTTTTCCCAAGCTGAGCAAGTGTTGATTAATTACAATGTTATTAATATAGCAATCACTATTCTGTTCGGCTATATTATCAAAATTATCTTGCAACTTTAGATTCGACACACATCCCTATTCTTCAATAAAAATGACAACAACATATACTCAAATTTTGTTGTTAAACTTTCTCAGATAAAAAAATTACAACGTCTACCATAGCAGAAATAGTCGTAGCGTGTCGTCGTCGCTATTTGATTGTGACTGAACATACCTGCAATGAAATAAAGCGAATCCATCAAATCTTATATGTGTTTATAGAAAACCTTTCAACAATCTAATAATTAAAACGTCTAGTATTGACTTTTGTATATAAAACCTGTTGATAATATCTCCAAAGGCAAATTACTTTCTTCATAAATTATATTCAAAACCGACGCCAAAAATTATTGCTAACATTTACCGTTAGACGCCCAGCGAACGCAAATGGCTCTGTTGGTCCCGTCCGTGTTATTCACTGTTTTCCTCAGTCATACTTAATTCGCTGCCAGCCTGAGACTCTATACTGAAAAACAACACAGGCGTAATAGAATATGCGAAACTTTTTTTTTTTTTAATTTTGGTTAAAAGCAAAAATAATGAAATAAAGTAAATTATCTTTAAAAATCATTAATTTAAGACAACCAGCGATTGATATACACTAGACGCTCTTCATTACGAAAAGCAAAAGTTCAAGAACTGACAAACACATACTCACATACTTGCTGTTTCTGGGATATACGACTTACAGAAAAGAGCTCTTGATATTTGGCAATATATTATTATTAATTGGTACATCGAGGAGCGTTCATAAGAGTTATTTTTCGTGTTAAAGGCATTTTTTGTTTGTAATGAGATAACAAATAAGCATGTTGATTTGCTTGACTAAATTAAATGGTTGCAGTATATCGTAGCGACGTTTGACACATCTGAAACGCAATCGTGTTGTAATGTCCATTTTTGTCGCAACCCTTCCCCTTGACAAAAGTCTCGAACTTTATCAAGTGTTCCGCGAAATCTTATCATTGATTGGTAAGACAGAATTTATCAGAAATCTCGTTAGAGATAACAGCAAAAACAAATGAACAAAAACCCGCGAATTGTCTATTTTAAATTATCGAATTTACAAATTTGGGCACGCTTTGTCGACAGTAATACATATTAGATAAGCGTGGAAGCTTGCATTGATACAATGGAAGATTTATTCATTAGAACGTTATCTTGTGCAGTTGCCGTTGGGCAATTAATTACTGAAATAAGGTATTATAAAGAACGTCTTGTTTCCCAATTTTCTCAAGTAAATGAGACTTGCGTGCAAACAATGACCATTCGCTCTTTGCTAGACTTTTAATATACGATGCGATCAGTTTAATCATCTGGTGTCAAGTCACACAAAGTTCTGCACGAGTTTTCTTAAATTATTCCAACTTGGCCACTTGCATGACGACTCGTGACTGCTGTATGTGTCACCCGATGTACCTTGGCATGATCATTCCCTTAACGGGTAACATCAAAGTATCCTATGCGGAGATCTCTTTATTTCAGATAGTCCATTATCGGCGATAGTGAGCATCAAATATCCACACGCATGTTTACATGTCAATTTCAAATACATGTGTTCACTGGCATGTAACCGTTAAAGAAACATGTAGCCTATTCAAGACGTACATAGTAATTAACATTTCGAGTCCAATAGGCGGGTTTCTCAAACTATGTTGATGCTCCGATTCTCTCAACTAGTTGATTCTCTCGTGTGTTGTATTATTATCACAAAAACGGTCTAGTCAAAAAGTTGAGATAAACTTATCATGTTTCAATAAAGTGTTGTTGTTGTTTCTTGCTAAAAATAGTAAATTTTTATAGCCACTTAATTTAAAGAATAGGATTCCCAACACATACATGATGCTAAGCTTGTGGCCCACCTCTCACATCAATGTTATCCCTACCAATGAGCGTAGTCTGTTGTACAATGCACATAACTGCTGATAGTCATTACTGTTACCATATTTTAACGGGGGTTGTTTGCCACTAAAAGGCATAGAAATTCCAAACACTCGGTACGATAACAAAAATAAGTGTCAATCATCCTGTTTAAGTTAAATCGTACGATAAATCTTTGATCCAATAAATCCTGACCAATTCGTCATTTGTTCAAAATTTTACAAATTATGGAATGATGGCGTTGTGAACATCCTTTATCTGCACATTTGTTTAAAAATTCCCTACATGTTACCAGTTGTTACATATAACAGTTCCGATAGCATAACTCTTACTTAAGCAACGCTGACAACATATTACACAGGGGTGTTGTCTGACTTGAACACCAGATTGCGTTACATTATAACAGTACAATTTAGTTACAGATCGGACAAGGCTAATATATTTTGTCGATTGGTGATTTATTTCTCATTCTAGAACGTAGAGGAGAAATGGTTTTGGGTTTGAATGCATCACACCGAAATACTGTTTTAATATCTCTATAAAAATTAGATATCTTTTAGGGCGTAAGAAAGGACACCAGAGAAAGCCGACACTGTTTCAGCATTGGGTTAAGGGATAAGAAATACAACGGAAATTACCGATCAGGCGTTCCGGTAATGAATTGAATTAATTAGTGTGAAATCTAGACTTGTGATACAAAGTTTGCTCTGTTGGACAGAAATCTGAACAATGCGAGATAAGAATCAATTCTCTTGTAGTCAATGCGAATCAAACCATCATGAGCTAATTAGCAAAAAAGCGGAGCAACATTTTGGAATACGATCAAATTATAAACCTTTGTCTGATGGGCTACCATCATCCGACAATTAAGGTAATTTGACCCAATTATAAAACGTTCCCATATCTAATTCAACATGTCTTTTTGCAGACTAGTTTAATTTACGAAAGATGAAAATAACCAAGATATCACGAATTTATTTGATCAGTAATCGTCATTATCTATCTATTCATTTATCGTTTCTTTTTTCATGATATCTGATCAATGATCGTGCACATCTAATGGCAAGTTAATCCGCCTTCTCATAACCGAGATATCGATTTAACTGATTCATTTGATTGGTTATTCGACTTGATCGGAAATAATCCGAAATCTTTTCCGACTTACCATTCCTGTAAGAGAATGTAATACAAGATTATGTACGGTACTCCGCATATAGGTGTTGGCCACATTTTGTGGCTTGAAATCGGATATGAATCTTGCACAAGCCGTGTAAGGATAAAAATAGCAATGCGATTTATGGGTTCGCCAAGATGTTATTTACTAAATTACCGGGCACTCGTTCTTTGCTTTTAAACTTATTTATTATTCATACATAATGTTTTGTTTACATATGCCATAAGTAAATAACTTAAATATGCTCGCATCTCCATTGTTGTTGGAATTGGCCGATGTAGCCAGCCGAAATCAGATCGAACAGCAAACAAACAGAGACAGTAGACGGTACAGCTGTTTGTTTATTGAAACGATTGTCCAACAGGCGACAATTTCCTTAGGACGATGGAGATCGAGGCACATATTCTTATCGCTATGACTTGGCCATAGAGCAAAATTTAGTATATAGGCAAAAAGAAAAAGAAACACTGGCTATACACGCAGCGGTTAACATAGTTGTATTTTGATTTTAAATTATTTTCTGTTACTATTTTTTTTTTGAAGATAAAATATTTTATATGTCAAGTCTTAACTGTGATATAAAATGTATATACTTAATACAACTCAATCTAGTCGTAACTTACTTATATTACAAATAATAAATGTAATCTTTTTTACACAACATATATGATTATAAGATAGACTTAACAAGTACCTATTGGGATAAATTAATAATAAAAACTCGGGGGTTTAGATACTGCTCAACAGTTCGTCTTCACAAAAACTAATCTGGTCAACATACGGCAAACCCATCCCAGTAATGCCATAATACTGTTGCGTATTTTCAACATGCGTACCAATCCAACACTCGGATAATTCGTTTGCGTATTCCTCGTAAGAAAATCCAGTAAAAGACATTCCTCCCTCGCACACATTGTCCGTATACTGCTCATTGCTATCATCGCTCGCTACCTCAGATAAAGTACTGCATGCGTTGACGTTTGCATATAAAATGTACTCTTGCGCTGGTTGTGGGGTCGGAGTAAACTGTATGGGAAGAGTGTTGTTGAAGTGTACATAATCGCTGGATTTCGGTGTTTCCACGTTTACAAAGTCGAATGACGATGGAGCAGGGTAATGTCCTGGATTTACGGATGATGTGTTATTAATGGGGGTTGAATTGGTAGATTGAGTCTTGGATGAGTTACATGACTGGGATACTGGTGGGTATGTATAGTGAAGAAATTCTACGCTGCGTTCTTGTACATGCTTAAAACAAAGAAAAATAGAAACAAAGATAATGGTAAAGAAGAAGAAAAAGAGATAATGTTAATAATAATATAAGGCAATGCAAAGAAACTTCTTTGATAACGATTCCGCTATCTATCTATCTCTATTGATGTCTATATTAGGAAAATCTCTGCAAGCCAACAAGCAAGCAAGCAAACAAAGAAATGCACACCAATGATTGAATTTAGAATTATAGACAGTAACAATCGTAGTTGTAATTATAGTATTATTGTCATTCTTTCACCCATCATTATTACTATTGTGCGCGTAGAGACGGCATACTTACTTTAGTTGCTGAATCCGCAATGAACGTAAAATCATTAAACATAGGCTTCTTAACGGTCTCTGACCTTTTGGGTTCGATGATGGATATAGAAAATTGTGGTGGACACATTTTTCTAAACAAACATTCGGCCTCGACTGCACGAAGTCTGTACCATTCCTTTACTTTCTTTGTTTCTCGTTTCCACGACTCTGATGCCATTTGAGAGAGTCTGGCTTGCGTGAAAGAATTGCAATTCGTTGCCTTGAGCTGATCAGCAAACGCTCCGCGGTAAATAAAGAACGCATTCGGAGGCTTTCCTCTATTTCCTGCTTTCGTGCTCTTTTGAAGCGTTCGGCATACCAACTCGTGGACATCAATTTGTGGTGGAAATGGGACTTCAATTGCTGGGACCAATTTCTTCGTGTTCATCATAGACCGTTGCATCGTTAGATCAGATTTTTTAAGAAGTACTACGAATTAATCTAATGTATATTTTGTTGAACGATTAGTCTATCTGTTGAGCAGTTAAACGAACTCGATTTTGGTCAGAACATTCTCTCCCTCGAAGGCGGCTTTTATAATTTTTGTTGTGCGACTTTGGCTTTAGTAACCGGGGTTTGAAAATAAGCTTGGCATTATTGTATGGCTTTTATTTGTTGTGAAACGTAACTAAAAATAAATTGCTGAACACAGAACCCACTACACGGTCAAGCACTGTGGCTTGTTTGTACCTTTACCTCTGAACGTAATTTAAAATCTTGGCAGATAACCTAACCAAATATCACCTCTGTGTAACTTTTTTCTATTTATGGTTAGTACTCAGTCATAAGAGGCAACATCTTTTGTGTTGTCCAAATCTAAATTCCCCGATTCGGTTTTGGGACTAGTTGAAGTTTCTTTGAAAATCAGGCATAAAACCTTATAATAAACAATTTCTAATTGAAACCGAAAAGGAGTACAGAACACTAGTTTGGTCCGAACTTTTTACGGAAAATGTCAACTATTTGCAATATTAAAACAACAATGCATGAACGCTTGTTTCGCTTTTCGGTCTTTGTGTCTTCTTTCTTTACTATGCATAGACAATACAACATAACGAAAAGCGGCCGAATTGTTTTACTTTCAATCCACTCTCGGCTTGCGACGTCGATGCTTTGTACGCGGCAAGAGTAATTGGTTCGCACCATCAGCCATCAAATGATATCGATATGCTTCAAGTAACTATTTCAAATAGGCACAATGTATTAACAATCAGACACAATAAAACTCATATCCTACGTCAACCGCTTCGTATGACATACTAAAACGAATTACTCCCTATATTACTTACCAAATCTTTCATCCCTTCAGCCTCCATTACTATCCGATTGGTCTCGACTTTATCAATAAGATATCCTTTTTGCATTATAGGAAATCTTACACATTTTAACAACATAGACAGTGCGCTTAAACGGTCACCTTCCCACGGTCGAGGAAATGTGTATCTATCAGCCTTTTCTGCATCGTTTTCAGACAGGCACATATCAGTTTCTTCAAGGCTGTCACCATCACGTAAATCGCCATCAAGTGTTTCATCAACACTCTCCTCGTCAAGCCTCCCCCAAGGCTCTGACGGCATGCAGATTGAAGAATTATTTTCCTGACTCGGACCTGATGTGGTGCTATTAGAAACTTCATTAGATGAAATATTGAAACTTGCCCATCGTACGACTAATTCATAGATTTTCTCCTCAGAACTAACGTTAGCTTCATCATTTTCGAGAGCAAGTCGTAATATATTGGGGTTGGCATGAAGAGTTGACGATTTATCTAAAAGAACTCCAAGGTGCGTGGCAACAAAATCACGACACGCGGTTGATGTCTTTGAACACGAATACTTCTCTGCGTTTGTAACACAGAAACTCTATTAGTGGTGTATTCATCGGATTCATAACGACTTTATAATTATAAACACACCTGCAAGTTCCCAGACTCCCCAGACATTGTCTAAATTCAACTCTAATCTTAGATATCTCAAACATTCATCCCGAACCGGGACAACTTCAAACCTCTCAGCCAGAGCCAGTAATTGTTCAGCATCTGCCATTGACTGAATATTTATTTCAAAAGTATAGATAAACCGCAGAAGAGATGCAAATGCATCGTGATTGATCTGACACAACCGTATTTCTCGCTCGTATGTCTCCTTCATTCCATTCGTCAGCATCGCTGTAAACACCGGCGATGAACACGCAAGAATGCCTTTATGCGCATAGAACAGTTTCTCGCATTCGCATTCATCGATTACCCGGAACGTCACATCAGAGAATTGAGGAGAGTTGATCAGCCGATCGAACGGGTTATTAACTTTGGGTGGCGCATCGATAACAGATTCTTGTATTTCAAAGTTCACGCAAAGAGATATAGTGTCATTCGCGACGAATCTAAATTAAAAGGTTGAATTCGAAAATACGTTCAGTTCTTTATGAAAATGAAGAAATAGAGTGTTACTCCATCCCAAAGGCCGCTTAAAACGAATGCATGTGACAATGGCGACCGATCAAAGAAACAATAATCAAGTTTATAATCCTGTTAAAAATGTGACGGTTGCGTCTGTCCTCCCATTCAGGCACACAAAAAACAAACAAACAAGTAGACAAACAAACACAACGTACCTATCTATTTCTTCCAGCCCTATTAAATTCTCTTCCCCCCATGTTGAATGCTCTGTTTGATACAAGTAACATCATATGCTTAGACTTTGATGTAAAGCGGATCACGCAGCAGTGGAATAAAATTGCATAATATTTACTATCGCAAAACCATACGGGAAGCTCCACTAAACAGAATGATTATATATTAGTACACAGGATAGACGCAGGCTTTATTCCAACTACATAAGATTCATTTATACCTTTTCCAAAATCCATCCCGCGTGTTCTCAGATTCTCCAACACAAATATTATCGAAACCTTTTTGCGGATGCCTCGTAGGCATCCTGGTGTCGTCTCAAGTATTCCTAAATAAAGTGAGAGAGCCTATAACACATAGAAAACAAATAGCACGATGAGAAAATAAATCAACGGTTAAGCAAAATGATCCGTTCATCGGGACTGATTAAATCCTTGGGGCATACCTGTGGGTTCTTCTGACGGCCTTTATAATACTTATTTAACCAAAAAGAGCGGGCTTAATAAACATGGTTGATTTAATTTTCTAGCAAGATTTGCTTACCTTAAATACCCTATGAATTAAGAATCGGTGATTTGAGTACATGAATCATCAGCTTATCAATGACTACTCTATTCAGCATTCGACCCACCATCTTAACCCGTCTGCATCAAACGCTGGGCTTGCATGCTCGACGAGAGGTTCCACTTCGCTCCAGTTGGTTATTTTCCATTGATAAACATAAGACAGAACCCCTCCCGATGTATTATTCGTTATCTTGGTGAATTTCGAACGTAGGTATGCCATGGGTATGAGCAAAAAGTTTGCAAACCGTGTTTAACCAAGTGTGACAAATCGGGTGACAAAATCTTATCCAATGTTAAAATAGTGGAGATGCTGGGGTTTGAACCCAGGTCCTTTCGCATGCAAAGCGAACGTGCTACCACTACACCACATCCCCAAGGGTTGAAATTGGTGACTAGAAAATATATTTATGTAAATCCAACATAGGCAATTAATTCTTTGCGTCAACTATACATGTTATCAACCATTTTAATAACAAAAAACCTTATTGATGTGAACTCATGTTTATATACTATTACAGCCAAGATTAATAATGATTAATTTTAATTATTATTTTATAAACAACGACTAAAAATCAATTTATAAAAAAAATAATTGAATTATGCTTCGCAAATGTCTCGGTTAAACTTGTCACGGCATAGTATACGACTTGTAGAAATGCCACCTGCTCTAGCTATCGCTAATTCATTATGACGGCAAAAAATTAAACTTTGGGACTTAAAAAGGTTTGAATAAGACATCTGAAATTCCAGTTATAATTTTTTGCGAAACCTTGTTATGTAAAATCGTTGGTCATTATTGTCTATGTATTTTCTTGGAAAACCCGCTTGTTTTTTCACTGTAAGTCTCTTTCTAATTTATCTTGAGGCGTTATGGTTATATTGACGCACCTTTATTGCCAAGCTTGACTACTAATTATAAAATGGCAATGTCACAATATTATGTAAGACCACATCATAAATATTACTTTCTTAGTAAACTCATTTTTTTCAGTGAGCTCTATTGTAAACTAATTGGTTGGATTTCAAAAAAGACAACGCAAAATTCGACCAGTTATTGTAAAAAAGGAGTTGTCCGTTGAAGTGGCAGTTTGTATTTTTACTAGTAAAATTTTGTATCGTACTTATATTTTTGGCGGAAGACAAGTCGATCATTCGCTCATTGGTAGCAATTTAGGTCATGATAAACTTTTCTAGATTGTATACTTAAAGTCCAAATATTTTACCTCGATAGGTTGAGTAGCAGCAGTTATTAATTTTTCTAATTTACTTATTAGTAGCGGAGTGCTAATCAAAATAATTAAAGTAGTAAATTAAAAGGTACCAAAAACTAAATAGTAAAGTTATATGTATTCTCCCAACGGCTTTTTTCAGCAAATGTTTTATTAAATTTTATATTTAACAATTACAATGCAATAACAGATATTATTTGTATTGTTTTTGTTATTAATCTTGAGCAATATATTAATATCCGTTTTAGCTCATATGGGGCATGCTGCAACAAAACCAGACAAAGTGAACATTTATAAATGAGAGGCTGATTATGATGTGACTGTAAAATAGTCAGGACATAGAGTAGTGTGTACACAGTAAAATCTGCTTTAACGATCCGCCAAAAACTTCGTTAAAGCGGATTATTCGTTAAAGCGGATTATTCGTTAAAGCAGACTTCTATCTTGATATATATATGAATGAATCAGTTCCATAAAAAAGCTTTGTTATTACCCCTAAGGTATTCGAAAAGCTTCCTCCTTATTGTCTTCTAACAAATCAATAATATTCCAAACGCTATAAGTTTGGTCAAAGTATTGATTTATTCCCGTTATATGCAGTATCACGATCATGTGTCAGTCGACTTATCACTGGAGCGCAGTAAAAATTTTTCGAAAACCCTCTATTATTATTATCTGTATTTCCCATGTAATCCCATCATAATTTTGGAAGCTAGTCGATTGTATTTTCAGAAAATAATTATATATTCAGACCTGTTAAAGCTGTAATTCGATGAAGTGACAGCACTTATGTTATTACTCTAATCAAACCATTCTTTCGAAAAATACAAACAATTAACTTCAAAACGGTATGATGGGGTTACATGGAAAATACAGACAATAGACTCTTCACCCAAGCAGAACATATCGTAGAGGTCAAAGATGTTTTCACTGACTCGAAGTTTGAAGAGCACAAAGACAAATTCAAGACCGATTATTATTATTTGCCTACGGGGTGTTGGTTGGCGGATCCAGAGAATAGAAATATCTATTTACTCAAGAAAGATACAGACGGAGTTGTTTAATCATTTATTATTCCCGCATAGTAGTAGTAATAGGTAAACACGTACAATATGATGTGACTACTTTTTTTTATGCGACGATCAATGAAGATCGCATCATATTAGTCTCGATATGCCGTACGACCATAAAAAGTGCTGGAAAAAAGTGTTTGAATTATTGTGCTGTGTAGTATTATTATGCCTGGCGGACCTTCAGTAGGAAAATTAGTCTTCCGTATTTTTACGCCAGTGTCGCGCAGACTCAATTCACATCTCAAAGGACGTTATCCTTCTCCTGATCCGGTTAAATATAGCGCTTTTTCGACTAATTCCAATAAGATAATTTCTACCCGTAATAGGCATAAGCGTGAAACTCTGAATACGGAGGATAGACTTCGCGTTGTAGCCCATAAGAGAGTTTTACCACTTCTTCAGGCAATACTTAATGAAGACATTGAAGCTGTTTGGTATCTGTATAAACGACTTGATGGAGAAGATAAATTGAAACTACTTTTACCGGAGCATCATTCACTCGTGTTGAGAAGCATTAATGTGAAAAACCGTTTGATAGATGAAGAACTAAAGACCAAATACACAAAGAGGCTTATATATGTGGTTGGGCGTATGAAAGCTTATGGCTATAATCCAGATGTCCGTGACTATACTCATTTACTTTACGTATTTGGTTCGATAAAAAAGTATCGCGAATGTGATAAAATATGGAATCGAATGCGGGAGAGTGGTATTAAACCAGGAATATATGCGTACAATTGCTATCTATATTCATGCCTAGGCCGGAATACGGGATGTCTGGAACTAGCAAGTGACATCTGGCGGAATCTGCAAAAAGATGGAATAAACCCGAATGCAGTAACGTATGCTGTTATGATCAGAATTTACGGATATCTGAAGCTGCCTGATGGAGCTCGTCAGATATTTGACAGTACCTTTGATATATCAGAAGAACATAAGAACGCCTCTAAATTCACCCCAACAGCATATTCATTTAATTCTTTACTGTATGCATACGGACAGTCTGGAGAGCTTGACAAAATGAAAAACACATACGAATTAATGGTAAAAGTTAAAGTGATGCCTGACTTTAATACTTTTGATGAACTTATTAGATGGTCATGTGAATTCAAAGACTTGGAAGGAGCTAAGGAATATAATGTTATAATGCAGGAGCAATATGGCTTTCAGCCTAATATAACCATATTCAACTATTTCATAAAACTAGCAATTAATACAGGGAGAACAACATTTGCTATCGAACTATTCAAAGAGATGAAGGAAAAATATAACTTATTTCCAATAGCAAAAATGGTTCAGAAATTGCATGCAAAGATGCGTATCAGAAAGAGATATTCAGACGCTCAACTTTTAGTAAATGAATGGATACCTCAAATTGTCACTCGCAAACAATAGATTGTTGTAATTAATAAATATGTTATCCCATTATAAAGACAATCTACCTGACGAGTTATCCATTTGGCGAACAATTTTATTAGAATGTATGCGTTCCAGTTCTAACAACCATAACAACTTTCGAGATCCGGAATAATCACAAGTGGTAGAACATCCCTCAAAGAAGGAAGTATACGTAATGATCTGTCGACCGTCGACTATAAATATAGAATAACATGATATGACATGTAATTGTTTGGCATATTCGGGAAACACTAAATAGCTTCTTGGCCAACAATCTCCAAGCTCTTCTCAAAAATTTCATTCTCACCACCTTCTATCACACGTGTGATAGGTGTATACGGTGGTCTATTATATTGTTTAATATAATCCTGGGCATACTGAAGCGCAAATCTTCTTTCGTTGACAGTGGCTCCACTTCCAACCCACACAAACACTAACAAGAGAACAATAGAAATTAATATGCGATTTTTCATTTAGTACACCAGTTAAATGATCCACTGACCTTCATGTCCGGCATCAAAGACGAAAGCATCATTTGAATCAAACATTGATTTGGTTATCCTTCCTTGGGCCTCTTCTGTGAATGTCAGCTTTCCAGAAGCATCACTCACTCTGCGAATAACGAATGTTGGTCACCTGAAGACTATGTATACATGACATGCTCATAACCACCTACCGGAATAGCCTCTTCTCTCGAGCTTGATCACTAGTATCCAAATCTTCGGAAGCCGCCTTAATAGGGCCTTTGCTTCCAAGCGCTTCCCAAAATTTGGGCATCTCCCGATCGCCCTCATCTAAATAAATACAGATCGACTGATCGATGAACGATCAATCTCGTCCATAACAATACTACAAACATTTAATGCCTACCGATTACGATTGTACGCGCCAATCCATTTCTCTCACTCTCTAAAGCTTGCACAAACTCGGCGGCTTTTACTTTTTCTACTCCTTGCGCGTTTTTCCCAATTAACTGGTATAACACTGTACCCGCGTCTAATACAAAAACATCACCGGAATTTAGTGAGGTATAATCCTTGGGCACTTCTCGAATAACGATTGATCGGTTTATGAGCTTAATCTTAAGCAGGCGATGGCGATACGAAACATGTTCGACTACGTGGAAGCCAGATCCAATGCCACCGTCCTCCACTTGAAAGCGTCTGAAATAAGAAAGAAAGAGTTTGGATTCGTAGCCTTGGACCTTAAGGAAACCAATGCAGTACCAGCATGAGAAGGAGCATGTAAACTGGATAACACATTGACTTGATAGATAGAATGCAGGCTATAGAGGCTTACTTCACGATGTTGTACGGGTGCAGTGCCGAGAACTATTGAGATAAGCAATCAGGCAAATCAGAATTAGTTGAAGTCGTCAACAACAACAACAACAATAATAATAATTAAGAACAGAACGAGGTATATACAATCATCCAATTCGACTGTCTTGTATGCGGCTGTACCGATTTCATCCTACTCAGAATTTTGCCTGGTTATTAATGTCACCATTTTAAAAGTTCAACGCGAACAATTAGTATACCTGACTGCTGTCCAAACCAAGCCAGAAGTGAATATCATGCGAAAGCGCTTCGTTGTTTGGATCTTTTTTATACGTCTAAATGCATTACTGTGTTACACAATGAATATTGCAAGATAAAGTAGAAAAGAGACACGCTTACGTGCAGTACTATGTAGCTGTCACCTATACAGGGTATTCGTTTACATTAGCCAAACATCTTGTAACTCTTTTTTCTTTCAATATTGACACCAATAAGAACCGTTCATACCGGAGTAGAATCTTCCGTACTTATCCTTGGGCCATGGCTTGATCTCGAACATTTCCACTCGCCAGACCCAAAGTCCCCTAAATATAAATTACATGTGGATAAATCCAAATATTGCAAACAAATATTCGTTAATTCTGTTTGACAATCATTGCGCGCATTGGAACCGTGCGAGTTTAGGGCACTAGTAATTTTGTTCAAATTCCATCACATGGCTCGCCATCGCCAAACAATAATGAAGACCAATATCCTTAAAACGAACGCCGACAACGAATTCATACTTACTCTTTACTTCCGATACCTAAACTGGGATCAGCCCATGCTTGTTCAGTTTTACTCGCCTGATAACGAGCATCTTTATCGAGTTTGGAGCCAATGTTGGCGATATTCGTGTCGGCAATATCTGTGATTTTGACAAGTGACTATAGCAAACGATGGATTTAAAAGATAGTTCTGTGAAGTTAATACTATAGGTTACCCCATTTCGGTTGTCGTTGCATAATTGGAATACGGATATAAATGGTTTAAACGCTCAGAAGAAGAGTTGAATCGATTGTCGTTTTTAAGTTGATGTTCACGTTGGTGCAAGTTCTAATTCTACTGGTCTGATCAATCTATATCGACAAATGATATGTTGAACCAAGTTAAAATGTATACCCGTGACCTTCTCAATGGAGTATACTAGGCTTGGTCATATTCCACGTACCCTGGTATTGAGAAGGAATATTCTACGGCGAACTGTTATAACAGAATTAGCTCATATAATCCGTCATATCTGTAAACAGATCGTATATTCGATGGGTATTGGAGAATCATTGTTCCTTAACACTAGTGATGGAAGTTAAAACAGAAATTAGGAACCGACAAGGATACTTCACGTCACAAGAATGATTTTCGGGACTTTAATCATACAAATATACTATGGAGGGAATCGTCTCCAGGGCTGGTATTTATATTCTTTCACTGTAAAATCTTGTTTATTAAGAGTTTAGAGTAGAAGGTAATTTCTAGTCTTCGGAAGGGCATCATCACGAGATCCAGCGCAATTAGGAAAGCAGATATGTATAAATGGATAAACCCATTGGAGAAACTAGATCAGGCAAGCGAACAGAATTCTTTCATTTCCCGAGTTTTTTTTTTTTAATCTCGCTGTACTTGATATTCTTACAACTCTGACACAAGTTTGCATATTAATAACAAAAATGGTACAGATAAATTTGCGTTAACGAATAAAAAATATACACTTGTTCAGTTACTTTTAACGATTTCTTTTATCCTGCATTTGTCAATGGAATGCTTATATTTTTGTTGAAATTACAAATCAATTGATGACATAAAAAGAATTATTCGCTTCGCAAACAACTGAGTTGTGTTGTCAAAAGACGTTCCAGTGAGAGTGGGGATTCCTTTGCTTTTACAAAACCAAAGAATTTTAGTATCTTTCAGGATAAAATCATGCAGAAGAACGTGACTAACCGTCAAAATAAAGTATCATTTATTAATTATCACATGTTCTTTCAATCTAGTAGGGCTGTTGTGTTAATCACAAATAAATAAATCAATGATAAAATATATCAACGGAATACACTAATTAAGCATTTGCTATCGTTATAATAGTTCCCACAGAGAATAGGCTAAACGCCGCTCAATATAGGAGCTTTTCCTGCTACTTTCTAATGCTCTTTATTATATTAAGGAAAGCACACGGTTGGTTATTCAAAGATGAAAAACCCCTCATAAAATACTAAATGCAATTTTGCTCATTTTTTCTCTTGAAGCTAGTCAATCTTTTTCCCATTGATATTTTCCCAGCTTTCTCCCGACGATATTGTGTCTTTGATGTTTGCTTTAGGTGATTTTGCTTGCCCATTCTTTTTTGGGATCCTTCGCGATACTGCATTTAACATCTTGAAGAACCAGAGAACGTTCAATGTATTCAAGACGACGTTGGCACCACCATAAATAACTTGAAGAAATAACGGAACTCGGTCGAGAACCGGCAGTACCGAAACTGACAAAACAACCATGTACGTAAACATCGTTAAGGATTAAAAGTAAATGAATTTCGTTAGGATGTAGTCAAATAATTAGTACTACAAAAGAACGGAGATAAAAACCGTAAATCTACTATACATACGTAATGTTTGGTAAGACATATAGATCCCCCACACTAGCCGTACGAAAAAGAATGTGGAGACTAGCATTATACCGTTGATTATTTGCAGCCAAGAACCAGTTGCTCCTACTTTGTCCTAATTGTAGACAACGGCGAATCAGACGTCAAAATAAAGATACAAACAAATAATCATGACTATCAATTACCATAAACCAATGCAAGTTGAGGAACGGTGTCGATAACTCAAACATTAGGAATGCTGCGCCATAATAGTTAAGAAATGGTCGCTAAAAAGTCGCGAGAGTGAGAAATTGATGTCGCATACTATGCAGCCCAGTTAAAGTCAAGATTCACTCACATAAGCGAAGAGGTAAACGCCAAAGCAGACAGAACCATGCACAACGAACCCCACTCCAAAATCTCTGACATAATATAAGCTCACAAGAGAATCCCAAAGGAAATATCTGTAATATAATTCAAAACATTAGCCAAATTTATCAACTTCTTCAGGATTAAACAAGTTTTCGGGAATAATCGTATGTATTGTATTGCATAGTCCCAAGAATAGTTAGCTATTTAGTAAATACCATTGTTGACTATGGTTGCTGAACGTTTTCATTGCTCTTATCCACCCCCACCTCGTTCTCAGCACATGGATTGTTACTTACCCGCAAGCTATAGCGTACACATTTCCAGCATATTCATCATAACCGAACACTTTATCTTTCTGCAACGTTTCATCAAATAACAAGGGAATGGATAGTGCTGTTATCGCTACAGAGTGCACCAGGCTTACGACATGTATATCCCAACTGAGCCGTTTTCGATCACTAAGCTGTTTATAAGACTTTGGGAACAGGATTGGAGATATTATGCGAGAAAAGCCTACTGTAAAGTTGCATGCTAGAGTTGCAAAGAGAAGAGCCTGCCAGTGGTATGCGAGTTTCTGTAGACCAACTGCTGTAAAGAAGGATTCGAGCCACCCTGCGGACATTTTTTTTTTATTATTGACGTTTTGGTCAAGAGGTTTACGTATTAGTGCGTATAAATAGTACGGATCTTTCCAGGAAAGCCAATAAACTCCAATAAAGTCCAGTAAAGTTCAACGAATCCAATCAGCGTTCGGAAAATCGATTGCTCCCCTGTTTGCATTTTTCATTTACTTTGACGCGCGCCATTACAACCGAGTTTCAACACGAAATTTCACCACTTTTTGGGGAAGCATATGTTAATGTGTCCACAAATAATGTTCAATGGTAAATCATTGCCTAAATGAATGAAAACGGTCATACTGATAGAATTTCGAATGACAAAAATGGAAGGGAATTCATAGTAACTGTGCCAGTAGCGAGAGGTCGTGCGAAACATCGTGCCTGATGTTTACGTTAAAATTGGTGATGACTAAAACTGGGTGTCATTGTGTAATGCTGCTTAGCCGTTTCTTGGCACACGACATCCGTAATAAAAGTACTTTAACCTATTTGACTCTTTGATAATCAAACTAGTCCTGGTCTTAGCGTTGTCACGTTTATAATTTATCATAACACCTTGAACTGTTTACAATAGCGTCAAGCGCCACAGATCTTCCTACCCCTACTTTATTTATCATATTTACTAACATATGGATATCTCTGTCCCTGGTGGTCATCATTTCATCAGCATTATTGAAGCTATCCGTTGATTGTCTGTGAAATGATCATCGCTGAAATTTTGGTTTGTGCTTAATATTAACAGAATCGTCTTCCAAAGTCCTTCAGAATCTAATTTCAATCTCGGGATTTTCAAAGAATTGATGTGATTCTTTATCTTTAATCTCCCCAAGCACCTTTATTAAATTTTATATTTTATTACTAATTTTTTCTAAATTGTAGAATACATAATGTCAAATTAATTTCCAAGCGCTGCTTTTGAGGGTGTTTTTTTTTTAAATAACAACAATAATATGACAATAATGATGATAGAACTGTACATAATAATAATAAAAGGCATTGCGAATCAAAATTTAAAAGACCAATAATAATGCTAATACGTAATATGAATAATAAATGTTAAAAATCAATGTCTAAAAATCCGCAGTGTAACAAATAAAGTAGGACTCATCCAAATAAATATCGTTAGACGAATGTCGAGATCTATTCTGCAGTAATTTCTGGTTGAATCGTTTCTGACATCTTTGGAACCGGAGGTGCTTCTTGTTTGAGTCTATTGAGTATATCTTCAGCCTTCAGTACAACTGACATACTACGCTCGACACGTTCCCGGCCAGCTCTTTGCCTTCTGTTTCTCGTGCCAAGATCTTTGCCATTCTTTAGAGATTCCAATATATTATCAACAAGGTGTTGTTCTGCCTCACTGTCATCGGTACCTGCCTCTTGTTTCTTGTTTTCGTCTTTCTTCTTAGATATCTCCTGCAGTAATAAAACGTCGCAATTTTAGTAAACCAATCGACTTTATCATAATATGAAACAATAGGCTTGTAGCGTATAGCGAACATACCGATTCCCTCTTCTTCCTCTTAGAGTCAAGTTCCTTTTGTTTCTTGAGATCCACTCTTGCTTTCTCAAATGAGGCAGTAAAGGTTTTGAATATGCTAAAGAACTCGTCCGGCTTGGTCGAGTTTGGGTCTTCGCCAAAGAACGCAACAATGGCCTTGAATTCAACTTCCATAGATGTATACGCCAGTTTGAGCTTCTCAAATTTAACACGTGACTTATCAACGAAGTCATTCATAACCATCGGGAATCTGTCATTTGGTTCAAGCTCGACGTCGGAGTTAAAATGTTTCTCAAGCTCCATTGAAAGATCGTTTAATTTAATGCCCATAGTACGGTACTCGGTTGATAATTCTTGTAACGAGACTGAAACGTGGAGAATAAAAAAGTTATAATACTCGAATAAGACTGTAATGTTAGACCCCACAACTTGAAATACCTCGACAAGCAGGCCCACAGTCTTTGAGTTCATCGGTAAATGTAGAAACCTCTGGTAATCGTTCTTCAACAATACTTGTTAAGAAATGGAGTAAAGTCGTTGATGAACTGGTAGATGCCTTAGTGTCTACGAGCTATAATTTACAAAGTATGAATGTTAGAATACGACCTATGTTCTACCAGTTGAACACATTACTTGACCGACCTTGTTTATGCTTGCAATCTTAAAACCGAACGCGCCACCCTTCATGCTGCTTCCATTCATATAGTTGCCAAGAAGTAAAATGAGCTAAAGAGTGGCAAATAAAACGTATTAAATTTAAATACTTGAATAGGCGTATGTGCAATGTAGACTACTGTTCAACTCACGTCAAGCAATTCCCTAAACCGCGTCGCCTTTTTAAGAGCTTTGGAAGCTTCCCAAATGGCAGTAACACCCTGAGAAATTTTAAGTCAAAATAATTTGGTTTAAACCGATAATTTGATGAAAGTGAGCTTAACAAAAGTCATTTCATACCTGCTCAAGATCCACAAATCTTTCATCAAACGTACGATAGAAATACATAAACTTAAGGCGTGGCTCATATCGATGAATTTTCATAGTCTGCAATAAAGCCTCTTGTTACACAGACAAGACACAAGGAAATAAACAAATCATGTATGGTTTTAACTGATTACTAAACTATACCTCAACGAAGAACCTATCGGCTCTGGCCAAGTTTTCGAGATCTTCCGTACCATCCTTATACACTGCCAGTTTTCCTCGCTAATTGTCAATTATCTTTAATATACGATCTGATTTGCAGCAAACACTTGCACACTTCCAACAAACCTCATCTGCGGTAGGAATATACTGCATAAACTGTCCCAGAAGATTTTCAGTGCAAAACAGTTCGTCCATTTCAATAATTTTGTTATGTATTTCTTCAAATGACATATTCTTGTACCGGCCGAGAATGACATCTGTTAATGAGCTAATTGTTGAGTATTTTACATCCACAAACTTACGTCATACAACAACAAAGCAATGACTTACTGATATTATATGCACGTCTGGAATCTAGCACACTAATTTCTTGCTTCTTTTCGGCTTTTTTCTCTGTAAACGGTAAACTATTTTATACACGAACGTACTCACACGAACAGAAGACAACATTTGAGTGAACTATTGTCAAGCACTTACTCCTCAACGCAATCTCTCTAGCGGCGAATAATTCTTCAATCGTCATAAACACACCATCTTGACCACCAAGCAGCATTAAGAGTTGTTCATCTTCGTACATACGCTTGCTCCAAATAGTATTGTTAATTGATAATTGGTTTATCTTCTCCCACTGCAATTGTTTTAATTTCTTCTTTGCAGAAATAGGAAGGTCATTTCGACGATTTACAACAACTGGATTTAATGAATCAATAGGAAACGTTAGATCAAGCACTCGTTCTGTAAGCACAATAATGCAACTGAAATATCACGAACCATTAGAGCCACGGAAAGGCGTGGCACTGGATGGTGGTGGTGGCGGTGCAGGAGCTCCACCTTTAGCAGGGGGTGGAGGCGGTGGCGGGGGTGCAGGAGCCCCACCTTTTCCAGGTGGCGGTGGCGGGGGAGGAGGAGGAGGAACTCCACCTTTCACAGGTGGAGGCGGGGGAGGAGGAGGCGGGGGCGCTCCACCTTTTACAGGCGGCGGAGGAGGTGGTGGAGGGGGCGGAGGTGGAGCTCCACTCGATTGACCCTGAGTACTTCCCTGACTGGGTTTATCAGTAGCGCCTTTCACAGGTGGAGGCGGCGGCGGCGGCGGCGGCGGCGGTGGTGGTGATAACGGAATGTTGGATTCGGTTGTTGATGACTGAAGAGCAGATCCAGTGTCTGAAACGTCATTTATTGGCAAGGTATCTGTAACAATGGGTGAGGTTGGTCCAGAATCAGTTTTCGTAGATGATGGTTTATTATGGTCCACCGAAGACTTTCTCGAAGGAGATTCTGTGGCCGAACCAGCTGGGACACTATCATGGTCGTCAGCGCCATCCACCGAATCGTGACGGCGTTGCTGAATTGCAGTTAATAGACCACTTGGAAATTGTGGCGGACCTTGGTCGGGCAATCTGAAGCCACCGGGTGATGGACGTGCATCGCTTAGAGGTTGAGGAATTGAATATTGTGGATCGACCTGCTGGCTTGGCAGTCCATTTGAAAAGTTAACAGATGCTATGCTAGGCGACCCAGAAATATAGCCAGTGTCGGTTGTTGATGTGCTTAATCTGTAGTCATGATGATTGGGCATCTAATCGTCATGAAAACAAAAAAAAAACTGTCAGTATCTCAAGTCTACTAAACCGACAAGAACACGAATAACTAATATTACATACTCTAAAATCTCCAACCCATGCTGGTGTCCAGACTTTACGTCCTTCCAATCTGGCCTCTGTCTTTGCAATTTGTTGCATTCTCTCCAATCTTTGAATAATTTCTTGTTTATCAAGAGCGGAAGGATCATCCGAAGTGGCCTTTTGATATGATTCTTTCAAAGTATTCTCAAGCTCACGTAGCTGCATATCTTGCTCGCGCAATTTCTCATTGTAACTTGCCTCCATATCAGCAAGTGTATTTTGCAGTAGATCAACAGTATTTCGCGACATAACGAGCAACTGCTCCAGTGAATTGACTTTCGCCTTCAACTCACCAACCATTCCATCTATTATTAGCGAAACACAGTTAAATATGCATGTCATATCACGTCATGTCAATCATACGAAAAGTTGTTTTCTCTTACCTGCACCCCTTGAAAGTTCCATTTGTAAATCATGCTTATCCTTTAGAGCTTTCTCAGCAACTGATTTCGCATCTTTTGCCTCTTCTAGAGCGGCTTCCAATCTTTCTTGATCCGCTAGCTTGCCGAGCACTTGTGAGACTGTTACGCCTATTGTCTGACTCAAATCTTGCCCTCCACCCCTTCTGTCGAGAACAACCTGCGAAATCAGTGAGTCTATGAGCTGAAAATATCGCGTCCTTGTCTCTCCATCTTCTCTAATTAACAACATATGCTGCATGGCTGACAAGAAGAAGTCGTACGCTTTTGTTCCCTTGACAGATTCAACGATACAATTGAATATATCGTGGGGGTTAGTAATAGTGAGTTAAGGAGATAATATAAAATAGCAAATATAATGTTGTAAAACACAGCAAATTGTAAGTAAGGATATGTCATGTCCTGCAGTATCTGGTTATTGTAATAATACAACACTTCGTCATAATCCTGTTCACTTTCATCTTCAAACTTTTTTATTTGTATGTTTATAAGCTCATAATTGAATGGTCTCATTTTCTAATAATAGTATTAATTTCCATTAATATCAGCTTATGCAAATCGAACTTCAAAAACTTGGATACATTCGAGTTGCCTCTCCCTTGGGACTTACTTCGATTATGCGACTCAATCCGCACGCATGAAGTTGATTGCGTAGGTCAACGCGAAGCTCTACATCATCACAAACACCGATTATTGCGTTCACCAAAATCATAGATGCAACCTAACAATGAAAACCGCAAGAATTAATGGTTGATAGCAAAATTTACGCTGCCTCTTTAATTTCATTAAACGTACCGCATATTCCATCAATGTATTGTCGAAACCAACGCCTCCTTTTCTGAATTCATCGCTAGCATTAACCAAGCTGCCCATTCGACCTCTTCCATCAATTGCATTCTCCCACATTCTAACCCAAACATCAAATCTGCCTTGTTCGGCTTGGAACTTTGCTAGTTGATCGAATCCCTGAAGTACAAGTGGATGCCCTCTGACTTTATCATAATGACATAAAACCGAAAGTATTTCTGCAACTAATTTTCGTGTTGTTATTTGAGGAGAAGCAATTGAGAAAGTAAGCGAGTGTACACAGATCGGATTTTTTAGTGTTTCCTCGGCGCCATACTGTTGACAAAGGTATTATCGTCATAGTGAGTTATAAAAAAGAGGATCAAAATAAATATCGACTGATTCTGGATAAACATATAAGCGTTACTTACTTTATTGTTGAGTAGTGATTTGAAACATTTGACAATTTCATATTCCATCTGCAGATCGCCCTCTCGCCTAACAAAAAACGGGAATTAACTGTTATTATTTATCCTTCTTTTTAACAAAATTAGGTAAGCGAAGTATTTTAAAAAACTCACTTTACGGGTTTTCGCGTAATTGTGCTGAGTAAGTTCGCCAGTACTTCGGTTCCCTTTGAGTCAATAAATAATCTCACCCATCTACGCAACCAAATAATAAAAATAATATTCAGGAATGGTTAAAAGATGAATTATTCATAAATAACATTTTGACAGATATTTGATATTAAACATCCGTACGAAATCTCGCATAATAACTGATATAGGAATAACACAGCTACCCATTCTACTTACGTAAGCGGAGCCGTCCTTAGTGAGACACTGAGCGAGTTCAACATTTTGACAGTAGCTGCATTCTCCATTATCTTTCTGATATAGTATTCAGGGGCCTTTTTATCTTGATGGTGGCCAATATGTGTTGGTTTTTGCAATAAATCTTGCTTAACTAAAACCCACTTCTTATCCGTAGGCATTGCTAACATCTGTCTCCGTTGGGCCTCGGACAAGTTCTTCAAATCTCGATTATTCTATAATAATAAGACAGAACATTATAGCTAATAACATATCACAACTAATTTTGTCTCTATAAGATATAAGCATACCATTAAATCCACAAACATGCGCTCAATCTCAGCATCAGAGGGCGTGGGGATCGAATCCAGTTTTTGAAAACTACGGTGCTTCGGATGACCCATATCTTTGCTTTGATGACCATTGCTATTCCATGAATGTATATCGCTCCCAGAAAATGTGCCAGACGATCTTATTGAATCGGACGGCGAATGTTTCGAACTGACATCAGGAAATGGATATGACCCTCCATCATTATACGTATTGTACTCTACGGAACCTCGTCTCATATTGTCGTTGCCATAATAATGCTGCTGCGTTCCGGGTGACTGTGGTTGTTGAAATGGTTGTTGAAATTGTTGTTGTGGCTGCTGCGAATACGGATAATACGTAGGCTGCTGTTGAGCAATAGGCGGTGATTGATATGGTTGAGGTTGCGGAAAGGAGGGTACACCTTGATATGGCTGTGAGTTTTGCCGTGAAGGTGGAGGAGAATTCGAATGTGTTGGTTGTGTGTATTGGGAGTACCCTGGGTAGACATTACTGGACACTAAGTGAGAGGTATAACCTGGTGACTGCACCGCCGGCGGTTTTACGCTTGAGTATGGAACGGGAGGGTTGACGT